CCCTTCCTCAGTTCCCACCTGCCTTACCTGAGATCCCTGAAACCGGTGTCGATTCTCAGAGTGGATCACTTTCCCGGACTTACCACTACGATGTTTGCCTAACCGGTGGATCACTAAGCAGCGAGTTCAGATTCCTTAGGCCTCTTATTCCTGTTTTCTCTATGGGGGACCCAAACATTTCTGAGAATCACAGGATTTCTTCTGTCTCTCAAGAGGCTCCTGAGCAGGCAGAGGGACAGAATCAAAGAGAACAGGTTAGTAGGTTTTTAAACTTCCTTATATGCTAAAGATTTTTCAGCAGGGTTGTATGACTGAATAAAGTTTTTGTTGAATAGTCAATCACATTGCATTTTTTCCCTCCATCCTCTTTTTCTGAATATTGTTCCTTGTATGGTGGCTAGATAGCTGCTGGCCACTGGCCTGTGTTCCCATATACTTTCCCCTCCTACATCTCCTTTCCCATGATCAATTGTCCCAGTTCCCTTTCTCTTAGACTTCATAACTCAGTGTCAGTATGCAAATCTTCTGCCCCTGAATAGCATGTGAGTGTTTTCCCTCAGCCTGCCACCATGCTGTACATTTATTTATTTATTTATTTATTATTAGCATTTTTACTCTGCCCTCCCCGCGAACAGGCTTAGGGCGGCTTACACGGGGGCACAAGCCCATACATAAAAACAGTATAAAACAGTAAAACTATTAAATCACAACAAAAACAGAATAAAGTGCTCCATACAAACAAGATGGTCTCCGATGATGGTATCAGTCATTTCATTAGGGTGATATTGTCCTGTTGATGGTCCAAGGCAGTCCAGCAGTATCAGTGCCATGCAAAATTGTGGCAGTTCTTCCGGGGACCGCCCCTAACCCTGTTGTTTTCTCCACCATTGAGGGTGGTAGTAATGATGATGGCCCATCCTTGTTCAGTCTAACATATCTCCAGTCTCTCTGGCCCTGGACATCTCCTTTTCCTCCCATCTTTTACTTCAACCTCTGCCTCCAAGCCTTTTTGGCCAAGTCTGGGAGTTTCCCTGTTACGTATTAACCATGGACTGCACACGTGGTTGGACCAACATGTGGTCAAGTGCTAGGGTTAAGCTTCACTCAAGAGACAATAGCCGGCTTGGATCCTAGTGTGGACCATTCGGCCACCCCGGTTCTGGGAGTGGACCCATGGGTGTTAGGGCACTGTAAATAGCCTATCACGGGTTGTGTGTGTGTGTGTGTGTTGTGTGTGGTGTTCTTGGGGATTTAAGCAGGCTCCGACCTTGCTACTGTGTCTTTTAGTTCCTGATACTTCTAATAAACTATGAGCTGATCACTATGCTACGCCTCGGAACTCAGTATATTTTATTCCCTGTGCTTTGTCCCCTATCCACTGGCCTCTTCCCCACTAAAGGTGGCTTTGTATAGTAGTTATGCCATGCTCCCCACCCCAATACTTTTTATTTATTTATTTTCATTAATATTCCACCGTTCTCACTGGGATGTACAGTGGAATACAACTATGATAGAAATAGTTGGAACATTGAACTGAGCTCAGTAAGTGATTAGTGATTTGTCAAGTGCAAATGAAATGTGTATATCTTTAAAGCATATACTTGCAAACCCTGATGGAATATATGAGGCGTTTTAAAATGCAGGACTCTTATCCACACTTTTCCCCTGCAGGAATACTTACTGCGTAGTACATATTATAAGCGGTTGGAGCTCACTCTTCTATTGTGCTGTAGATGTGCGGGCTGAGTTACAAGATGAGATTTCAAAATAATATGAACTCAGAATGATGTGTGAAAGGAACAGTCCACTAAAGAGATGTCACCAGTTCAAAATAAGAGCAGTCACTAATCCCATCAAGAAACATCAGAGTCAATTCTCTACAGCGACCTTTTTTGTGCAGGTTACAAACTACTTTCAAGCCATCGACCCCCTCAGAGAAGACCATTGTGACAGCCCTTCTCCACTCCCACAGAGTGCATAACACCGAGGAATTTCAGACAGACGATATAATCCAGAAGAGGAACGGTTCCCAAACAGTTTCTGGTCTGTCATTTCAGACAGAACCGTTTTAGAACTGGTTCCCTACCGGAATATATTTGTAATTTCACATACAAACGCTTTTCTCCCATTTAGGAAACGGGGCTGAAGCGTTTTACCTGTCAACCGCTTCCAAGTAGTCTTCAGTTACCCTATGGAGTCTCAAAGCAGCTTATCATCTCCTTCCCTTCTTTTCCCAACAATAGGCACCCTGTGAGGTAGGTGGGGCTGAGAGAGTTCTGAGAGACCTGTGACTGGCGGAAGGTCACCCAGCAGGCGTCATATGGAGGAGTGGGGAATCAAATCTAATTCTCCAGATTAGAGTCTGCCACTCTTAATCACTACACTATGCTGGCTCTCCCAGCCCCTTTGATAACAGGCCCTCATTCAAACACTTCACTGAGTTATTGGAGCTGGAGTCTCATACACTCACTTGCCACCATTTATTTGTATCCTGTACTGTAGCCATAGACTGAGATATGAACTTGTGTGGGGGTGGGGGTGTTTCTGTCCCTGGGACATGCAGCCCACAGGGTTAAACAAAGAGGGGGTTAACTTTTATTTATGGTTTGAACGTAACACTGAAGAAAGTAAGGTAGAGGTTTACAACGTTTCTTTTCCCTTGAACTTTCACACTGTTTCCCTATTCCAGCATTTGGGATTTTTTTGTTGTAAATTGACTTTCCTTTCCATTAAGCTTTAAGCTGCTCTCAGCTTCACTCAGTCAGATATATTTGGTACCCTCCAACTCCCCTCACTGCCAACTCTTTAACTGCTCTCCTAACCAACGCTCCCTCTATGCTGTGGAGTCTTGTGAGCAAAAATTTCACTTTATGAGCTGCTGCCATTAAAGTCGTGAGCGAGCGATTGGGCTACTGCATAAATTAGTGTGCTCTGAAGCCATCCTTCCTGAGCTAAGACAAAAATGTGTGAGCTGGAGACTGAAAAACTGTGAGCTAGCTCACACTAACTCAGCTTAGAGGGAATACTGAGTGCTATTTTCTAGCTGTCTCTCACAAACATTCCAACAACTCTTATTGGTCGCTCTTAGGGAAAGGTGGAACCTAACCTAACCATCACCACTATCTTCAGCATTTCGACAGCACCAGCAGGGAAAGGAATGACGTGCCAGACTGGCAGTGTGTGTGTGCGCAGAGAAATGCTTCTAATGATAAATATGGTGTAGAAGCACTCTGCAATTGCTATTAGCTCCACTGCTCCCCAAAACTATCTTTCGTGAGTTTCCCACTTGGTTCTTTCTGGCAGTAGAGTTCCTACTCCTTCCACTCTGTGCCACAAGCCATCTCCCATCAGATTTCTTTCAGCTTCTCCTCTTCCCCACCGCAAAGGTGTGTCTCTCCTGAACCCCAAGCTGTGTGAGGTACATACGAAGAATAAGAAAAAAGACAGCTGTCTCCAAGTAATTTGAACTGCCTTGCTGATTAGGATACTACAGTTCTCCAACAGATAACTGGAAAATTCTTTGTGTCCAGTTATAGTAAAAGAAGTTTATTAAGAACATGGCAGAATGTGCATGCATGAAATGCTACTGATTGCACTGTACTGTGCCATTTGCACATTTGAAAGGTAACTGCCCAACAGGCTCAATGAAAATTCTGTTCTCTACATACAACCGGAAAACAGAATATCAGCCAAACTGATGGGTCCTTGAACATCCCTGACATAGATTAGGCCCTAACAGGGTTCCTTAAACTCAGATTCATCTTAAGTTTTCCTCTAAGGGCGCTCCACCCATGAAGCTTCTTGTTAGAAGTACTGGCCATTTGGTTATGAAACCCTACATTGTCCAAGACTAGAGTATTTAAAGTATTGGCTTCTTCCAATTAATGAGCTCATCATCTAAAATCAATACCAGTGGGTCTGATCACCATGTGCAGAGTCAGGTCATCTCTGTCGTGGCACTTCCACAATAGAGGTTTCCCCCCCAAAGCATTCTGGTTCCCTCTCCTCCCCTACTGTCCTTGTATAGATAAGCATTTTATTCCCCTGGCACCCTGATGACTACAGTTACTGGTGGTATTATTGTTCTTATGAAGAATCTTTAAACTGCTGGTTTTATAGTTAATTTTAGTGCAGTTGGATTATTAATAGTAGTTTTTTTAATTGTTTTTTAATTTGTACAATACCTCATAGCTAAACTTTGCAAAGAATAAAGGATATAATTTTTTAGAAAGTGAACTTTGGCTGCGATCACACACAGTAATTAATCCACTTTCAATCCACTTTCAGTGCACTTTTCCAACTGGATTTTACTGTGTGAACTGGAAAAACCCAGGTGGTAAGTGCACTGAAAGTGGATTGTTTAATGTGTGTGACCTCAGCCTTTAACTCGTATCATGAAGGCTGGTGTGTATGTTTGAGTATTGCACTCAGAAAAAAAACAAGCATAGCCATGAGATACTGGTTGTTGTTACTGGGGACCCACCTTCCCCAATGCAAGTTTATTTATGAGGCAGATGGCCATGAGATAAACAAATATATTTAAAACACTTAGTCATATGGAGAAAATACGACGTTTCACTTGTTCGACAACAAGCATGCTTTCTACTGTCTAACAGATAAATACACACCCCATGTTTTAATGTCTTGAATGTTTTAATGTTGAAATTGTTTTGATGATCGCCACCTTGGGGACATTATTTGGGTAGAAAAGTGGCACATAAATGCTTTAAATAAATAAATATTAACATTTTTCTAATAAGCCCACTGTTTTAAAACTTTTTCAGTCTCAGAGAAATACACTAAGAATTCTGGGGAAACATGCAGAGGTTGATGAGTCCCAAGGGTCTATAGGGGCCATGTTACATTATGAAAGATTATATAAATATGCATTACGAAAGATTATATAAAGAACGCAAGCTCTCCTTGCACAAGATACTTCATGTTCAGTCGTAAGAAGCAATTTAGAGGAGTCATATTATTGTTGAAACACAAGGTGGTGCAATTGCACCACACAAAATGCAGTTTCAGGGAATATCAGCTCTCTCACAAAACGGCTGTCTTCACTAGAAGGGATCTCAAAGAGAAAACAGCCTTCACTGCAGGCAAAGAGTCTGAAATTTCAGGGGCGGAAAGCCACTGCTCTCTCTAACCAAAAGCAAGGACAGGATAAACGAAAGATTTGCCTCAGGAACCACACAACAATCACTTCCAGCAGCTGCTTTACAAAGAACTATTCTGTGCATTGGATGTGCCTGGAAGGAGGCTGAGACAATGGAGATGCATCCCAACAACTGGCAAGGTTGGTCTTTTTTCTTCTATCTCTGCATGTGTGGGGCAATATGTGAGTCCTTCCATTACTCAGTGCCTGAGGAAAAGAAAAGTGGGTCTCTGGTGGCAAATGTGCTAAAGGATTTGAAAATGGATGTGAAGGAGCTCTCTGCTCGCAGGGCCCAGCTTGTTTCTGAAGGCACCAAGCAATATTTCCAGCTGGATCCTCACACTGGGAATGTGATATTAAAGGACAGAATAGACCTAGAAGCTTTTTTTGGTCAGAAAGACCCTTGCATCTTGGTTTCAGAGATTGTACTGGAAAATCCATTGCAAGTGCACAGAATTGAGGTTGAAATAGAGGATGTGAATGACAATTCCCCACAGTTCTCTAAAAAGGAATTCCTCTTTGAAATACCTGAGCACATGCCAACAAATACTCGATTCCCTTTAGAGAAAGCCAAAGATGCAGACAGGGGAGAAAATGCTGTGCAGAATTACACACTTAGTCCAAATGACCACTTTCGTCTGGATGTGCAAAGCCACAGTGATGGAACGAAATTTTCAGAATTAGTATTGGAGAAACAATTAGACCGGGAAGAGGAAACACGTCTTTTTCTGACTCTGTTGGCTGTTGATGGAGGGATCCCACAGAGAACAGGCACAGCACAAATTATCATTGAAGTTATAGATTCAAATGATAATGCTCCTCATTTTGATCAAAATGTTTACAAAGTGAAAATAATGGAAAGCAGCGAACCGGGCTCACACGTAGCCAAAGTGGAAGCACATGACCGTGATATTGGTTCTAATGCAGAAATCACTTACTCCTTCAGCCAGGTGCCAGATGATGTACAAAGATTATTCAAATTAAATAAATTTACTGGGGAACTAACTGTGGCCGATGAAGTTGATTATGAAATAAATAGAGTTTATGATGTGAATATCAAAGCCGCTGATGGAGGAGGACTCACCGATTACTGCAAAGTCATTGTGGAGGTTGAGGACAGGAATGACAATGCCCCAGTGATGACCCTCACATCTGTCACTAGCCCCTTACCAGAGGATTCTCCCCCAGATACTGTTGTGGCCCTTTTCCGTGTCACAGACCGAGACTCTGGAGACAATGGCAGAACTGCCTGCACCACTGAGGCAAACTTACCATTTGTGTTAAAAGCGACGGTGACCAATTATTTCCAGCTGGTGACCCACCGAGCATTAGATCGAGAAACAGTTTCTGAATACAACGTCACCATCACAGCCACAGACTGGGGCTCTCCCAGACTCACTTCCAGAAGAGTAATTAACATTCAGATCTCAGATGTCAATGACAATGCTCCAGTATTTCAGAAGTCCACATTTGAAATGCATCTATGGGAAAATAATATTCCAGGTCTGCTGATAGGTTTGGTCCAAGCCAAGGATACGGACATGGAGCAGAATGCCAAAGTGACTTATTCTGTTTTGCCTGGGAAGGTCAGCGATCAACCTGTGTCCTCTTATGTCTCCATCAACTCTGAAACTGGAAATCTGTATGCCATCCGATCCCTAGACTATGAGCAGATAAAAGATTTCCAGGTGACTGTCAGAGCTGTGGACCATGGTTCTCCACCCCTGAGCTCTGAAGCTATTGTCCGAGTTGTTGTCATGGATGAAAATGATAATGCCCCATTCATCCTGTACCCTCTTCAGAATGGCACTTCCCCATCCAATGACCTGGTTCCCAGGGGGGCGGAGGCTGGCTACCTGGTCACCAAGGTGGTGGCAGTGGACAGAGATTCTGGTCAGAACTCGTGGCTTTCCTATGAGCTCCTGAAGGCCACAGAACCAGGTCTGTTCAGTGTTGGAGCCCAGAATGGAGAAGTGAAAACCATGAGGCCCATTAATAAACGAGACACCTTCAAACAGAAACTTATCATCGGAGTCAGAGATAATGGGCACCCTCCCCAGTCTACCTCTGCCACACTAAGTATTCTGCTAGTGGATGGCTTTTCTGACCCTTATATGAAAATGGTGGATATCCCGAAGGATGAAGTGGTGGAGGGGGAAGACCGTACCCTGACGTTGTATCTGGTCATATGCTTGGCTGCCATCTCCTTCATTTTTCTCATTTCTGTTGTGGTGTTTGTTGCCATCAAGATTCAAAAAAGGAGGAAGTTCCTAGAGAGCTCCGCCCTGAATTTCCCATTGGGACCAAATTTTCCTGAGAACTGTGGAGATGCTGATGCTGGATCCCTCTCCCGGGCTCACAACTATGAGGTGTGCTTAGCTGGTGGGTCTCTGAACAGTGAGTTCAGGTTTCTCAGGCCTTTCTTTCCTGTGTTTTCTGTGGAGCCTGCTCAGTCCCAGGGGGCTCAAAGGATTTCACCCGGTTCCCAAGAAGTTCTCAGTCATGGAGCAGAAAATCAACATGTATGTCAGGTGACAGTATAATTTTACATTTAAATATTTTTTGTATATTAATTCCTAATGTTTATGTTCTAAAGTTTACATTTCAAAATTCTCTTTGACACCGTGAGAGTTGAGCATCTTATTTCCCTATGGAAATTAATGTAAATGAGAGGATAAAAGACTCTTCTTCTTTTTGTTTCTCCTGATCTACATATTTTATTTCTCCTGATCTGTATATAGAGAAAAATAACTATATCTTTGATTATGTTTGCATACAATCCTACACACTGATAACATACCTGAGCACAAACTAAAGCTTTTCCTCTTAACTGAAACTAGCATTGACTCACTACTGTAGAATTTTCATGTTTATTTTTTATGTCATACCCAAATTTAATGGAATTGGAAAACATATTTTGGGAACACAGAAACTTGCTCTGTAGCTGCCCTCATGAGAACCTGTGAATAAACAGAATTTTAAAAGAAAAGAATGGAGGGTTGGTTGAAGAAAGTAAAGCAATCATACGTGAAGCAACATTAACCTTCCCTACAGGAAAGATGGCCAGTCAATGAAAGTCAGAACTTTCTACATTTTGACCAGAGCTTGAAGATACGATCTAGGACAGTGTTTCCCAACCTGTGGGTCAGTACCCAAAAGTAGGTCGCAAAGCCTCTGCAAGGGGGTCATAAGCCAGCCCTCCCTAATGGTCGCCACTGCCCTTTTCATTGCTTTCTTTGGTACCTTGGAAGCCCAGATCTGACCTTGGAAGCATCATCATCCATGTCATACATTAGTTGGTATTTTTTCTGCACTGCATATCCATGTCCTGATTAGTGCTCCCTCTAAGCTGTTGAGTCTTGTAAGCAAAAAATCTACTTTGGGAGCTACTGGCATTAAAGTTGTGAGCGAGCGATTTGGCTACTACATAAGTTAGTTTGCTCTGGAGCCATCCTTCCTGAGCTAAAATGAAAATCTGTGTTTGTTGTTCAGTCGCACAGTCGAGTCCGACTCTTCGCGACCCCATGGACCAGATCATGCCAGGCCTTCCGGTCTTCCGCCATCCTCTGAAGTTGGCTCAACTTCATGTTCGTTGCATCTATGACACTGTCTAACCATCTCATCCTTTGCCGTCCCCGTCTTCTTCGACCTTCAGTCTTTCCCAGCATCAGGGTCTTCTCCAGTGAGGGCTCCCTTCTCATTGGGTGGCCAAAGTATTTGAGCTTCAGTTTCATTATCTGGCTGGAGGCTAAAAAACTGTGAGCTAGCTCTCACTAACTCAGCTTAGAGGGAACACTGGTCCTGGTGGTCGCTGGAGTGAGTGAGAATCTTAGGGAGGATGGATTAATGGAGGAGAGTGCGGTCAAAGGCTGGAATGTAAACTCCATTTGAAAGACTGTGTATGTTGGAATGCCACTTGTTTGAAGTTCATGGTGGGGGCAGCAAGCGCCTTTTGTACATTGTTGGTCTCTCAGGAGCATCTGGTTAGCCAGTATAGAAACCATTTGAAAGACTGTGTATGTTGGAATGCCACTTGTTTGGAGTTCATGGTGGGGGCAGCAAGCACCTTTTGTACATTGTTGGTCTCTCAGGAGCATCTGGTTAGCCAGTATAGAAAATGGAATGCTGAACTGGATGGGTGCCAAGGCCATAGTTTATCTAGGGTGCTGAAAAACCTTGGGCCAGCCTTGGTTTGGTCACTATTCCAACCAGGCCCAAAAGGTTGGGATCTGCTGATCTAGGAGACCATGGCACCATGGGTGCGTTCAGATGGGGGATTTACAACGGTTAGGGTGCCGGTTCCAACCGGTGTACTTACGGGCGTTCACACGGTGAACATCTGCCTCCGGTCCCTAACCGTTATAAATCCCTTTACACCGTTGCACTCTGCCACTAGGTCCGAAGTGGTGGTAAACAGAGTGCAACGGTTGTCATTGCTGTACCCCGGCATCTGATCGCTCTCCTCCGTTGCCCAGCTACTTCCGTCAGAAGCCTGAGGCTTCCGGATTTCCCCCGCCATTTTTAAAAAAACCTTAGCGATATGCGCTCGTGCAAAGCTTCGCCCTGAGCGTTCTTTTTTTTTTTTTTTAAAAAACCCCTTACTTTAACTTCCCTCCTCGGCTCGTC